AGTCTCAATTTTTGGAAGTATTGGTTTAAGGTTTCTAAGTCGGCTGTTATGGTTGTTTTTCCTTCTTCAAGGTGTTTATTTTGAGTGGCTATAGCCATGTCGTCTGCGTAACAAAACTTACGTGACGTAGTATTTGGGGTGTCACTTATGTAAACATTAAAAAGTAGTGGAGCCAGTACTGAGCCTTGAGGGAGACCGTTTTTAATGTTTCTTGATTTGCTACTTGATGTACCTAAAGTGACCTTGAAATAGCGACCTTTCAGCATTCTTTCCAGTAATCTGGTTAGTTTCATGCAAGGGATCATTTTCATGAGTTTCAGGATCAGCCCATCTATCCACACTGTGTCGTATGCTGCGCTAAGATCGACAAAGGCCACTGATGTTATTTATTTATATACAATCTTTCCAGTAATTTGCTGTTGCTATATCTTCGCTCTTCCAAAATCCCTAGATTTTTGCACGCTGTATACGGGACCTAATTCCGGGGGCGAGTCCGAAATTCATAATATTTTCGTAATGGAATGATGCGATGATATTATAGTTAAAAAGATAGTATTAGTATTAGCAATAGCGTCAGTAATGGAGATTGATTTCTTTCTCTTGATTAAAAAAATTAGACATTTAGGTATTCTCGTTGTTTTATCACGTTATTTGCCGATACGTTCTTACTAAAATTGATTGCACATTATTATTAAGCAATCAAACAATACCTTCTATAAATAATATTTGTGTAAAATAACATTTATAATAAATAATATTAAAAAATAAAAAAGCTCGTAAAAATTGTTGTAATAAGAAATTGAAAATTAAGGATTAATAACATTTTGAAAGAAAATACAGGTATGTATTTTGTATGTTCTTTATTTTATTTCTTGAACAAGAGGAACATTTTCATTAAAAACAAAGTGTGACCAACTAAATCAATTCCAAATGATGACATCAAATATACCAATTTTCTTTTCCCTTCTCTATTTTATTTAAAACAAAAATTAAATCAGGTGTAAATGCTTTGCATAATAAAAAAATCGATATATAACACAACCACTTACTTCAAATAAAATAAAATATTGAAATGATTTGACAACGGACCCGTTAACAAAGGACCCACCTTCAAAAAACTTAAGCAGGTACAAAAATACATTTATCTGCCATTAGTATTAACTTTTATGACAAAGAAAATTATCCCCACTACTACCTCTCTCACTAAAATTAAAATTTGCCCCACTAAATCCACATAGTTGCAAAAAAATTACGTAGAAAGCTCATTGGAGCAATAATAACACGGTGCAGCAGTGACAAATTTACAGAAAAAGTTGAGATATGGTCATTGTTCATTTGTTTATGAATGAATAACGCGTAGCCGCAGGTGCAGAGTATCTCTCTGATGAAAATAAGAAATGAAATAATCACACACCATATGAAGCATCTACCGCCATTTGCTATCAAAATCGTCGAATCTCTCATTTTTTAGGCCGCGATCCGAAGATACCAGTAATACAACGAGTAGCAGATGCCACAAAACGTTTAAAGTTTTTATACCAGGCCGAATAATAAGAATACAAATATAACGTCGATAACGATATAATAAAATTACATCGTGTTGTTACTAAATAAGTTAATTATTATCAAATGCGGTGAACAGTAACTACACTTTAAAAGGTTGATATATTGTGACATACCTAATAATTAATTACAAATTCAGCTTGCAGGAAAACGAAATGAACGATTAGCTTGTACCCCACTCCGTGACTAATTTCATTTAGAACAAACTGTTTGGAAGTTATTGGCACCGTGTAAACCAAAATTTTTAAGGTAAATATAACAGAAATTACCATAAATACTAATAATCTCGATACGTGTGTAGAAATTTAAGAAATGTTAAAAACCTGACCAACGACAACTAAGTTGCGTGTGGTAATTTTTTTTTCAGTACAGACACAATTACTCATTACTTGGTCTGTACAATCTTGACGTGGTTTTGTTTACCTAGTCCTACCCAATTCGTGACCACAATGTGTATTAGTATAAAAAATTCATATGAAGTGCCCCCTCATTGTTTAGAAGCTACTTTAGTACACTATCGTAAGTATTATTCAACTTTGTTTTTTGTGGTAGAATGTTCTACCTTAATAACACTTTTAGTGTCCTGATGAAGCCTACATTCATGGGCGAACACATGACTTCTTAATAAAAGTCAAATGAACTGAGCGTATTTATTCCCTTTTCAAATATAAGTTTTAGGACAATCCCGTAGTTTATTGTTACCAGTATCCTGTCAACAGAACAAGACCAAAGGCAAATGCCTAATTTACATTGAAAAATTTATATACGTTTAATAACAAATTTGAGTAAAACCAAATAAGTATAAGATAGCAAGGCTGAAGATGGCGGAGAAGTTGGATTGATTCGTAAAAAAACTGCACTATTGAGTTGTGGAGGGCACAATCAAGCAAGAAATCTGGTCCTACGAATTCATGCTGACTTTCGCTTTTATCTACATGTGAACAATTGTATCAAAAAATAATATAAGGAACGCAAACTATAATATTCTCACAGACACATATTTTGAGATAGAATTGAAAGTGTTAGTTGTTTGCGCATGATTTTTGGCACTAGTCTTTAATTGATTGCAGAAAACAAAACAAATGCCTTCCTTACCTGAACGCCAAAAAACCTTTCGTAAGTCGATGTATGAACGGTTATTCACATATTAACATTTTCGCTCCAACTGACCAAAACTAACACTATGCTATTTCACGTAATATTCCCATCCCGTCACCCTGAAGTTAAAAAATTATCTTATTTCTACAAAACAAAAATTAAGGTCTACAGGAAGTTTTAATAATCACCTGTTAATACCGTTAGACTAGGAATCTTTTTCTGGGGTGAGCTAGATCTTTTTTAAATTGTTCTCTAGCTCATCAAATATTACCGTTTTTTTTTACTTGAAATATCCTCTATGTGATTTGCAAATCAACGTATTATTATTATTATTATTATTAAAGACTAATTAGGACTATCGCTTGGCAGGGGAGAGTAATTATTTTCAAATCTATAAATGTTGTGGCCGTTGAGCCCGTTGCTCATTTGGCACTTTGGTAAATATAGTGCAACGACATAAACATTGAGCAATTAAGATTGCTGTAGCTAATTAATGAATTACAGCAGTTTATTCAACTGATCTTCATTTTTGTTACATTACGCACAGAATTATGAAAATGGTAAAAAAAATAATCACGAACCCAGAAGAATTTTAAAAGTAACTTTATAAAAGTATGTCTTTATTCACATGACATTTAGGAATGTTGATAAACTTAAACCATATTTATATTAACCGTAGTGTAGATATAATATGACACATATAAATATAATAAAAAGTACATAAAATAAGTAAGCATAAATTACAATGATTATCGTGAGCAATGAAATTTATCGTTAAATTGATTTCATTCATTTAAGTTTAAGTGCTGGTTTACAGCACGCAGCATTTTACTCTGATTAAACGTTTTTAGACGCAAAAAACGCCTACAAAATACGAATACTTTATACTCGGCATGGCATCGGTGCCACCAAGTTAAATTTTTAACAGCGTTTTGTCATTTACGCGTCGTTCTCTGTCGCCTTGGGTTTGCCAAAATCAGGTAAACAATAACATAAATTAAACTTATCTTGTCTTAGTGGCTCTCAGAAATCTGGTAAGTGCAACAGGTTTTTAAAATTAAAGTATGCAATAAAAGCACAATTAAATACGGTCAAAAGAACCTAAAATTGTTATTAAAACTTATTTGGTCTGTTTGTTAAAACCAACCAGGCAGACCTTTTTTACTTGGAATAAAACGCAAAAGTGAATTCTATCAAGTGTGGCGTCTCGCCAGATAACTAATTTTTAAAAGTTATTAAATTAGTGTAGGCACAAAATGATCTTATGGTTTAATTAATAACTTCATAAAGGTTTTAATAAAATAAATGATATATGGGCAATATTGTGTCCTTTTAATTTTGAAGCGGGTAAACATGTTAAACTTGAAATTAATATGTTGGAGTTCCGAGAGAAATCCAAATTTTTTAATTTTAATCATGATCCAACCTAGAAGATGCTTTCATCTTAAATGTTATTTTTTTTCTATATTTGACTTCGCTATGGAAAATAGGAATCATTTATATCTCAAGCCGTTTGCGAGATATTAGTCCTACTTTATTTCTTTGCTCATCTCATCATGTGTGAAAATATATTGCCACCATATTCATTGAATAAGTCTTATATTGATTTATAGTATGACTGATTAGTTAGATTAGATCGGTACATGCAGTGTAGACGATGTTCACTGTTACATTTTAGGAAGTGAGTCAATTTATTATAAACTATCGATAAGATGTTATAATATTCCAAAAATATTAGAGTATTGCCAATTTTGAGGATCGACCATACGCTCGATCCGTAACACTGATTTGGAATTAAACTCAGCGAGAGGATGTCCTAACACATATTTATTTTAAAGCATTATGAGGCGATTTTCAACAACAGATTTCAGTTATCACTTTTTAAGAGCTAAAAATAAGTACGATTAACGACAAAATCAATTTTCAATGCCCCACAAGTTAACAGATCTAGCGTTGTTAACGTCCTTACAAGATGATCTGTTATAGTGTGCGAAAATCATTCACAGACATTCCTGAAATCCTCTCAAACGAAAAACTGGCCAGGTCTGAGTTTTAACGATTTCGAGGCAAGTTATATTGCAAAATCCCCAAGGCCAAGACTGTCCAGACTTTCCATTTAGAGGATTCCAGATTATGTGTGAGTACCATAATGCTTTTTTGACGCTAGCGCTGTCAATTCAAAATTTAATTTTTATATATAAAAGACAATCTGTCAAACACCACGCAAAGAAAATTGTTGCGTGCATCTAGCTAACGTTATTGCAAAAAGTTATTGATGCCTACAGTAATTCCGCACAAAATTAAAATGTACATGTACCACTTACGAAAACAATTTTCAGATGAGGAGTTACATCCGGATATACCTAAGAATGTCCGTAGCAAGATGCGCTTACATGTGCGCATTCTCGGCGCTATTTCTAATCCTTGGAATAGTATTAATTTGCATTCGGACGATATTGTACAACGCAATTCTCGACAAAATGCTAGTCCTCCAGCCTGACAGTTCAGTCCACGATTTGTGGAAGATTACTCCTTTTCCTTTGAGTTTCAAGATTTATATGTTTAACTGGACCAATCCAGAAGATGTCTACAATGCTACGACCAAACCAAAGCTACAACAGCTTGGACCTTATTCCTTTAACGAAACGAAGGAGAAGGTGAATGTGACGTGGAATTCAAATAATACCGTCTCCTTTATGCATTTGAAGAGGTGGTATTTCGATCCAAAGAAGAGCAATGGTAGTTTATACGATGCCGTGGTTTCTTTGAACCCTGTAGCTGTGGTAAGAAATACTTTTTATACGTCTACTACTCTATATTTTATACTTATAATAAGGGCTGACTTTGCTGACGCTGATATTTTATGAAACAAAATCTGTAGGTTTTCAAGCAGACCAATAAATTGGAATAGCTACCAACTACTTAAATTTTGATGTTGAGAAAAATTGAAACCGCTGTTTACACGTCGAGGACAAATATGGATAATGGCATTTACTCCTCTCAATATATACTTTTATTAAACACGTTGCATTTGTTGTCTTTCAGATAAGACCAGTCGAAAGTCTAGATAAACTACGTAGGGAGAAACGCAAAATGACAAATAAAAGTTAATTTGTACTAAAGCTAGCTCTAAAGTTAAGAAACGAGTAAAACAATTTTTGTTTTCAGATTAAAGAGTTAAAAAGTTTTTTTTTGCCAATAATTCTCAATCGGACAAAGGTTTTGAACTACGGTTTAAACGTTTTTCATTGTAAATTCAATCTACTTTCCTATTATCATTACAAAATTATGCTTGTGTTTTAAATTTTCATGAGAAAATAAAAAACTCTTATTGCTGCGAATCGCGCCCTCTAGCGATTTTATTTGAAACCATAGAGTAACATTTGAAAACCCTTACATTTGTCTTGAAACTGATTTAAATAATTAACGCTTCTACTCGAGTTAGATAGGATGTTATTAGAGTTGTGTGATTCATTCTATCAATTAATTGCTGTGAAGTGCAAAGTTTAAAAATGATTGTCCTCGTAACTTCCCGACCATTTTTATCGCTTTTTTTACCAAAGTTTTTGAGATATGACCAGTAACGTTAGAAAAATACAGAAGCTGAAAATATATATCCCAGCGATTTTTTCAAAAACCTCAACATCTTATTGCATTTTTCTTCACCAACGCAAGATATATTAAGTATGATTAAAGCATTTGGGCTACCCGTTTTAACTTCCAATACCTTTACTTTATTATACCTTAATACCAGACTAGCACTAGTTCCAGCAATTTCTCAGATTCAAAAAAAAATCGCATTGACCATCTTTTTGCAATTAATATAAAACTTATGATAAGTTGATTTGTAAATTACGTGCATTTCCTTTATGGCTGATTATATCAGATATAACACACTTGTAACTGATAATGTGATATATGCAAAGCAATTTCCTAATCACCGGCTACCGCATTGACGTCATGTGTGAAATAATTAAAGCGTCATCAATTACAACAATTACAGCCCTTGATACAGTGTTACGTTTACGCAAAATTGCAAGCCTATATTCCGGGAGACACTATTTCCGATTTTTAACAATACAAACCATTGCATGATTAATTAATACATCATAATGAAAAAACGGAAACTACGCAATAATCCATTACGAATATAATCTTCTTTTAACTTTAATTATGAAAAAATTGTAATTCGCGGACACTTGAAATTTATAACACCTATTTAAAAACGCTACACTTCAAGGTTTATTTACATGTATATTACAACGTATTAAATTTTCCCGTCCACCTAATAAAATAGCTGGATGGTTGGCCTTACCCAGTGAACTCGTTTTAAGCTGAGATGGTTACGGTAATACAGTCAATAGGCATTTTGAGAGGCTGATTGTATGTAAAAGAAGACGGGTAGTAATGACAGATAAGGGTACTAAGTGTAACAAGTAATATTTCTAATTTCCTATTATCTTGAGGCTAAACAGTTTACTAACGGCTACTTTGTAACATCATTTCAATCGATTATCTTGTTTTGAAATGGGTGTGATATATTATTGGGCATGATCTTGTGCATTCATAATACCAACCAATAGTTGATTGGGGTGCATTTTATTTACAAATTAAAAATAAATCGATATTTTACTATTAATTTCGTTGTCACAAATATTTAAAAAGAAAATTAAAGCTTCAAGAAAATATTAAACATGTGTGTAAGTGTTTTTTGACCAAGTCTTTTTAAATAATTACAATATCTAAATAAATTCAGTAAAAATTATATTGGTAAATAAAGTAATTAACCAACGAGAACATCCCATTTTTGTTAATTACTAGTCGTCTTTTTCTGACTTTTCACGCATTTTAAATCAGGTTCACTGAGCTTACCTAATAGATGGCTTATCTAATAGCAAATCTACTCGGGGTTCGTTTCATCTATTTTCAGACTGCTGCATATACAGCCAAGGATTGGAGCTACCTTTTCAAAAAGGGCATCGGTATTTTTCTCGGGTCAGTTTCTGCCAAAGTGCATTCTGTCCATTCAGTGGGGCAAGTGCTCTATGATGGCTACGAAGATCCCATAATGAAAATGGCTCAAAGTTTACCAATGGCATCAATTCAGCTACCCATAGATAAATTCGGATGGTTCTATGGAGTAAGCATTTTTTAGCATAAGCATAAGCATAATTTACTTGCAACCGTCACTCAGTGTTATATTAGTCATAGTATTAAAAATATAATTCTTTAATGCTTGGAAGATAATGTATCTATTCGTATTATTATTATTATTTTTAGTCTCATACTCTAGTGTCTAGATTTGTCACAATTATATCTTGTATTTACTAGAGTGGTCATTTTTGACAAATTAGGAAATGTTTTGATCAACAAGTAAATGAATAAAAGGCTTCTTTTTTCATAAAACTTTCGCAGGCTGTGGAACATGTAGATAAGGTTTGTCTCAAAATATGTCGTCTGGAATTTTGATGGCAATTATGAAACTAAACTGCAGGATGACATTTGGTCGACATCTATCTAAGTTGCCCCGGTCTTGTCCCTTGCCTACCAATAAATTATTAGTTGTTGGGTAACAGTAGCTATCAATATCGTTATTACATTTTGGTGGATGATCCGTCAAAAGCTAAGACGACTTTGAGACACACTTTACAAATGTTCTGGAATTTTCCTACGTTGGGTATTGACTGTCTTGCTGGCATTTTGGCAAAACATATTCCCTTGCTCCCTCAGGGCGCTGACAGAAACTGAGGGCCGCTTGCCATGCATGTACCTTAAATACCTGGCGTTAGCAAGGGCAGTCGGAAGGGGGGTTTAATTGCTTCACAGATGACCGAATCCTAAATAGACCAGAGATAGAAACTTGTGTCGTAATTCCTAGGATATTTGATGATTTCGATAGACTCTGAAATAAAATGTGGTGCCATTTCTAGTGATTTTGTTATTTATCGAAATCTGACTGATATCCGGTGTTCTTTCAATCTGATTCATTTGTCGTTCGGTCAATGAAACAATTAAAGCTCCTTCTTACTCTCCTTGTCACCGGCAGGTATTTAAGTTACATGCAGCGCAATCAGTTTCTGAAAACGCACTGAAGAAGGCTGCAGCATGTTTGGCGAAACATCAGCAAGTCGAAGTCAATACTGGCCGCAGGAAACATAATTGTTTGTGCTTTCGAATTTTTTTAACCGTTCGTCTTTACGAAATATTTTTGGATAGTTTTGGTTAGTTGCAACAGATGCAATAGAAATGCAAAGCGTCCCAAAAATAACTATAAAAATTCGTTTTGTCAGTTTTCATTACTTACTTGTGGCTTATTATGAATCGTTTTCAATGCAAGCGAAAATCAAATTAAATATCACGAATATTAAACAGACGAACGGTTCTCAAACAGAAAGTAGTTTTATTATGCATTTTAATAGTCCATAAAAAGCTAAGATAGAACCATTTGCTCCAATCTTGAATAAATTCAAGAGATTCAATTCAAAATTGCGAAAATTCCTACTTTCAATTGTTTTTTTTTTTCAAAGGAATAATATAAAATAATAATTATAAAATTACCATCTAAATACTTAGCTTTTATCTCAGTTGACCGATCCTTTTTCTTTAATGGTTTAAAGGTTACGCATACAATCTCATTGAAAAGGTGTCCAACCTGTATATGTATCGTGCGGAAAAATTGCCTTAGTAGCATCGCCAACAATTGACGGAATGAATGAGTAAATATCATTTAGTGACACTTCCTTTATCGGTGTCGCGACAATATAACGTGTTTTTTTCGATTTTTGTTACAGAGAAACGGGTCTGCCGATTACGAGGGCGTATTTAACATGGATACCGGAGTATCCGGACAATTGGGCGAATTGTACAGCTGGAGGTACATGACAAAAACTCCTTATTATCCGAATCGATGCGGGCACGTAGAAGGATCCGCTGGCGAATTTTTTCCGACCGAGTTACGAAAAGACTCTGTCATCAAATTTTTCTCAGCTGACATGTGCCGATTCGTAGAACTTGAATACGAGAAAGAGATAACAATTAACGGAATAGTCGGCTACAAATATGCAGCAGGCGATCGATTTTTGGATAACGGTAAGTCGAATAAATAACGAGGCTCGTTGTCAAAGCTCACATTCGTGTGTAAATAGTCTTTGTCACAATATAGTAGTACCGACACCAACAAAATTATTACACATTTACTTTACTTTTACTTTTACAATATTTACTATCATATCCAAAAATTGATAGATAGGTTGAACATGCACACTGCAATTCAGAGGCGCTGCTTCATAAGTTATTGTATTACTAAGATGGCGTAGTGCCTCCTCTATATCTCTACTAGCTATATGGATTTACAGAATCAGCTCAAAATGCCCTACTGCACTTTTTACAAGGAATATGATGTGTATTATTATTTAATTTGACTGGGAATAATTTACGATTTTTAAAATTTTTATAAATAACAAAATATACAAAATACGATAGGAACTTGTAGCGGTCAGTAAAGTGTTTGTCCATCTATTTTTATCTTTCTATCTTTAAAGATATGTGGCAGTTATCGCAAAAATTTCAAAAAAATGAAACTCTTTATGTCTGATGATATTTTTTTAAGAATAATGACTAAAATTGCATGTTACAAAGCTTCTTGACAGAGACTAACTGTTTTTAAACGGCCTTTTGAAATAAAATTGTAAAAAAATTAACAGATATCAAAAATGGCTACACCATTTCTTCTGTCCCAGCCCAATATGACTAACAGAAAGTTTCCGAAACTCTACAATAAATTCTAAATTTAATTTCAAATTCTTTATATTTTAGGCAACGGTCACGGTAACGGGTAACGCATTTGTTTAACGCTTATTTATTGTAAACTTTTATTATAGTGACGCATATAATAAGTCAGTTTCAGATATCAAGTAACCAATAAAACATTTTCCATGTGAATTTTAATTTGGCTTTGTTTTAAAGTAATTAAGCAATTAGGGACTTTGTTATAGGAAATAATAATTAAGTAGTCAATGAATTGATGATATATAGATTGATTGAATAAGTACTCTCCCTGATAACAATAAAAATATGCAATTATCAATCGTCTTTATCTAGCTGCATAAGGCGATGATTTGGGTACAAGTCGCCGGTAAATAATATATTCTAGAGCACATTATTCAAGTAATTCGTCGCCTATTGCTCGACTAAGTTTAATTTATCCTTATTTTTTAATTTCAGTAATTACCTAGCAATCTTGAACCTAACTGAATCAAAAAAGGGACAAAAGAATAGACCCGCCATTTTAGGGTCTAATTTCCGCACATCGAAAAACTTTCTCCCTATTAAAGTATTCATAATTAGTTCGAGATGACTACTGCTTTTTTTTTAATTGCTTTCGCAACATATTTTTCTCTAGTATAGTTCCTTTATTGCGAAATATCATCTTTAGGGCTCCGTCTTTAAGAATACTCTAGCCCCTTTAGTAAACATTTTGGAGGTATATTCACATGGACTTGCTAACCAAAACGCGTGAGTTTAGCTTTAATTCGGATTTTTAATCATTTTAATCACGAGTTTACTATTTCCTTTTGAGTTTATTAGTTCCGTTATGATCTCGAAAAACTTGTCAACGGCAGTTTTTTTCAATATTTAATTAAATTTTGCACATTGCGATATTCACAAAATTAGTCTTGTTATAGGTACAAAAGTGCCTGAAAATAAGTGTTTCTGCATGGGCAACTGTATGCCTTACGGTGTTCTAAACGTTTCGTCGTGTCGCTACGGATCGCCTGCCTTCGTTTCGTTGCCCCATTTTCACAAGGCTGACCCTTATTATACGAGTCTGCTCGATGGGGTGGAATCGGACCGAGAAAGGCACGACATGTACATGATATTTGAACCGGTAAGTATAGCATTCATTTCACGTGTGATGACCGCGTTTCGGTCGAGTTCGAGTTATTTTTGGAAACCCTATTGGATGCAACGAAGCGCACACTAATCCCTATCCCGTAACAAGAGTGAACTTCTCATACGAAATTTCTTACCCTGAATTAGACGTGCGTTTTGCAGTTCTTACTAAAAGTTATTTTTATTCATCAATATCGCGAGCGATTATGTTGCTACATTCTTCCTTTCTTCTAGAAAACTGCTCTACCTCTTCAGGTCGCTGCCAGACTTCAACTCAACTTACTTCTTCAGCCAATTCCTGAGATCAGGTAAGCTTAACTTGATATTGTTAACATTATATAATTTTTCTTATCTAAAATATACCCGAAAGTTTTTTGTGGTTGTGACTCATTTATTTAACTTTTTTAGAAACTTCGATCAAATTCCCAGGGAGATTTACTTTCCTGTTTTGTGGTTTGAGCAAGTTGTAACCATCCCCGACGATATGACCCTCTACGTTAACGTTTTGGTAAATTTCGAAACAATACTCTTAGGAACGGGCATTTTCTTGATTTGGCTGGTGATAATGATAAACGCCTGTTGCTGCTACAAAGTTTGTACATCCAAAATATTTACAAGAAAAGTGAATATAGTGCCTAAAGAAGAAATACCATTGAACCGCAAACATAAATAACACTTCGTAGCCTCTAATCAAGTGACAAGTGCAATTTTTTAGAATAATGCGAAAATAATTCTTTAAAGACACATTTAGAATTGTTTCGTCCTAGGAATAAAATTCCAGATAAAAACATTTAATTATTTGGTAAACGGCTAAGGACGTTCTAATGTCTTTCCCAAGAAAACCGTAGAATATCGCCAAAATATTTTGGATATATTTGGAAAACACGCAAAACTTTGCTAGTTTCTATATTTGCTTATTAAGCACAAGGAAACATACTTTTGATATTACCTCGGACATCTCCAGCGGTTTATTTTTCGCGATAATATGATCACTGCCTAATTATTAGTTGTTTTTCGTCTGTTGTTGAACGTCAAAGTACTGTAATTTTTTATAATGTTTATTAAATAAAATTGTTGAAAATTCTTTTCGTCCTATAATTTAAGAATAGAACTAAAAATCTGTCATGAATTGTATAGCATTTCTTCTTTTCCACATTTCTAATAAATTGAAATTACGCCAAAGTACTGTATATTAGGAATGCTTTTTTTTGTTACAAAATTCCTTTTCTTGTATAACATTTCGTGGGTACCTCACATATATTTTTTAAAAAATACGATTTTTTTAAGTTGCATGATTTGGGAAACCTTACCATTCAGGAACATCATTTATTATTTAAATTTAATTATGTGATAATTTTAAAAATACTATATTTTATTGGTGTTTGATTTTTAAAGATTGACTTTGCGACATGTCGCATGAGGTAGTAAGCAGTAGTGGTAGTAGTAATATTTTAAATAATATGAAAATCGAAATTGTCGCTACAGGCAGTATACTGTGTGACTGAGGATATTTTAATGGCGCGACCCTGTATATGTATATTTGGAAAAATTGTTTCAAGACTTAGGAATAGAGCTAAAATTAGTCCTATGGACTTCCTATAGTGCTAAGATATTAGAATTAAACTTACTTACAGAGTCTCAAATTACCAAAATTCCATCAAAATTAAAATTTGAAAAGTAATTAGTTTCAGATTAATTCATAACAATATGAATAAATATGAATAATATAAAATTAGTGTTCAAGGTGCCCTAAATATTTTTCTCTATATTAGCCAATTAGCTAAAACAAAAAAATATTTTTATTACTTTACGCAAATATTTAATAATCACTTAGTATGTTCTGTATAAAGATATTAATCAATGAACTGGAATTAGTAGTCCGTGCAATTTTTATGTTTAAAGATGATCTTTTGTTTTAATCCACTAAAAACTGTTTACGACTTCTCAAATGAAAATCCGAAGCCTACTGCTTTATTTGTTCATGTGCGATATTTAGTGTTTTCGTATTTAACATCATATTGCAAAATTTGGGTAAAATTATGCGTGTGTGTCACTTCTTACAAGGCCGCAAAGAATCTCATAAATTTGTAGACAGACAAAAATAGATAATTATAGAGTGAGCCATTTTCAGTTATCAAAATGTTTTCACGATCACGGTTTAGCTTTTCCTGACTTAGCTATAAATATAAAGTAGATATATATACGTTTCAATATTGTAAAAATAATAAATATTTATTTTATTACTTGATGGCAATTGAGAGGGACGTATCGCCGCCAATTTTCCACTATTTCTACGTTTCAGTTTCGAACGACTCGCTGAGTACACCTATTAGGGTACGAATTTACTCAAACATAGATGAATACGCTTGTTATCGACGGTTGTAGTTATAATATACGGTATGTTTGCGTCACAAAGGTCACCGCGATAAACGAGTCGCCATTGTTTGTTTGTTAAACCGTTAACGGTAGTGCATTTTCGTCTTCTATTCAAACTTCGTTGGCTATTTAAATGTTGTTATTCGTCGAGGTTCGCGTTACATCATCACGCCACTTTGATACACAAAGCGCGCGAACGCAAAAATTATGTTACTCGATCTTCCGTTGGAGGGATCATGTTTAGGTAAGTGCGTGGAGTGACTAGTAACCAGGCTGCGTATTGGTCTAATACTATTTCGGTTCTTCCTCCTCCAATCTCCAACCAACCAGGTATTGTATTTAAGAAATCGTGAAAGTTCATAAACAGAGAAAAGTTACTTTTTTAAAGAACTGTGTTTTCTAACGGGCTCAATTTCCAATAATAACAACTTTTTTCCATTGATGTTTACATTTAATTTTGTGATTCTGTGCTGGTTTGATATTTCTCACTCACTTCAATGGCACAAAATTACTTCATCATTACAAGCATCCCCAAACCATCTAATAAGGCGTGATTCTGATGATGCTAATATTTAACCGCTTAATTTAAGGAGAATCATGAAGAAACTTTAAAGTTTGTAATTTACCCCAATAATTACGACCCTATGTGGCAGAATGAGGAGCTCGAAAATAATTTCCAGAATCTTTCATGTCCATTTTAGTCATTTTTTTTCCTCAAATTTCATGTGCCCTTCGGACTTGAAAGAGATCGGATGTTTTAGTGACTTAAGAGGCGTTTATCATAATTGATACCTATATTAAAAGTTAGAAAGATAGTGGTTACTTATTTCGCTTTTGAAATTGAGGGCGTTTTTGAAAATGTTGCATTTAAAGATTCTCTCTGTATCTTTTTGTATTCAATAAGTTATATAGCTTTTTACTTAGAAGTTAGTGCCAAAATTTTGGCATACATATAATTTAACTAATATTGCTCTAAATTAAACATTTTTTTAGTTCTCCTGAGCATTAAATAAGAATATTCACCTTGTTCTTCAGGAAGATCCTGGTCTCGTTAGTGTATAACGTCTAAACTAATTTTTAACGAATGACACAGTCTTTTATAACCTTAAAGTACATTCAAATACATACATACAAATTCAAAAATTGTTATCTTAAAATGCGAAAAGTGAAGTTAAATGAACAAATATCGAAAAAGGTCATTCGAAAAAGTGTTTAGGATTATATTTTAGAGCTGTATACGAAATACGGAACCAAAAGGGATTATAAAAAAAAACTAGTTAACGTGGCTGGTAGCCAATCCGCTGTGGCAATTAAACTTTTATTTTAGAAAGCTTAAAGTCAACAATCATACGTGTCAAAATTTTTTGTTTTGTAAAAATTTAAATAGGCCCTACTTTTTTAAAAAAATTCTCATAGCCCAAAAAGGAGTCCCATACTTCAGATGAGAACCTTATAAATTCAAACTTGAAATGATTCTATGTAAACTTGTTCGGAAAATGACAATATTTTGGCAATTAATGAGAATCCAGATTCTTGAAAACGTTAGGATATTTTTGAACGAATATCGATTTTTTCACGCTGGCTGGCTAGTACTATGGTGGAGGAACTAAAAATATTTGGAAATTATATAAATAAAAGTCTCATCGAGCACCATCATCCTCCGCCTTTGTGACACTTAATAAATTACCCACTTAACCTATAAAGATTAACAACTCCTGCAGGCCAAATTACGCTGGTTAAGTTCAGTGTATCCAGAATTGCTTCTGCGTGAATCGATATAAATAAGAGAGTTGTTATGGTGACCGAAGTTACTTTTTGCGTGTTCTTGTTCATGGTGTTTCTCGGGTACTTGTACCTATGTATAAAGTACATTCCCTAAATGTCATGGCGGGTCATATTAAAGTAAGTTATAAATAGTGATAAAAATTTTACCCAAAATCAAACTTCTTTTTAAATTCAGTCGCATTATTTTATCATATTTAATATTTATGTTTATGTTATGATTTCTTAACTGTCAATAATTTAATATTGTGGCAGATTCTAAATATGTTATATAGGTTAGGAGAAAACCACAAACGAAAGTGGAAATATACAGTGTGTTCCCACTTAAGAACTGCTACACTCTTGTAAAGTCCTTGTTTATGGTTGAATTTTTTTTTTTTTTGTTAGACAGGTCTCTGAAAAAATGCACTAAACCTTGTTCTGCTTATGGATTCAACTTAAAATCAGGGCCAACTGAGACTATTTAACAAAAGTGAACGACGAGAGAAGAACTATTAAGGATTTTTTTAAAAATAAATTTGCAACGAATTCTTATTCGAGTGTACTTAGAAACCAATTATACCAATTTTTATGTTTCATTACAGTGTGTTCGAAATATTCTTTGCGCCCCATTTAAGCTGTACATCCTTGTAAAATCTTTGATTACCGTTTGATTTCTTTTTTTTTTTGTTGAATGGATTTCTCAAAAACGCATTAAAGCCTTATGTTTCTTATTACATCAACCTGAACTCATGGTTAACTGGGACTAATTTTTGATGTCAAATATCGAGAAGGGAATCTGATTCTTATTCACGACTACATAAAATCTAGTTATATTAACATATCTCGGGCGCCTCGCTCAAGCATTACTCCTATAGAATGTTTGTTATTTTAATTATTAGATTTTGATTCAAAAAATACGGCGTTGTAAAGTTTGTTTAGTTAATACCTACACCTGTCTAATCATATTTAATTAACTAACCAAACATTCTACATGAGTAATGCTTAAGCGAGGCGCCCGCGATATTTCGAGCACCCTGTATTCGAACTTCATGGAAATTATTGTAGTTAGGTTTTATGTAGTCCTGAATAAGAATTCGTTAACACTTTATTCTTAAAGAAATCTCTAACAGAAATTTGACAGTTTGACATCACAAATTAGTCCCGGTTAGCCTTGACTCCAGATTGATGCTATAAGAAACATAAGGTTTTAGTGAGTTTTTGAGAGATCTATCCAACAAAAAAAAATCAAAATCAAACCGTAATCAAAGGTTTCTACAACGATGTACAGCCTTAAGCGAGGCGCAAACGATATTTCAAACAGCCTATATTAAAATATTATAAAAATTTGTATATTTGGTTATATTACTCCTGAATAAGATTTCGTTGCCAATTTTAAAGTCCTTATAAAAATCCTTTTAAAAATCCTCAATATTACTTATTTCTTCCCTCTAAATAGTTTCAGTTGGCCAAAAAAATTATCACAATCGAACTCTAAACAAAGATTTTACAAGGGAGTACAGTTCTTAAGTGGGACACACTGTAGATGACATATTTATAGGATAGTTTTGTATCCACATACTAGTTTCTTTTAAATTTTTAATTTTGCAAAAACAATCTTAATTATTTATCTATTATTATCAATAAAACCACTAACTTAATTCACGTCTGAAATAATTATTTAAATAATCCGGGTTGCCAACAACCGACGTTAGATTATTTTTGATTATTTTTCTTGTTACAGTCTAGTCCATTGAGCGAAATCATTATAATGCATTTAAAAACTTGATATAGTATTACGTACTAAATCAAATAGTACATTCTCGCTGAAATTCCGCTGTCCTTTCTAAACTCTCAGTTGAATTAACTAAATTATTGTCACTGTAGAGATCAAAATTTATTTCAAGCTCACAGTAAATAACGATGTAATCTAAACTTTCATTTAAATGTCTAGTTCCATGTGCAATTCAATCTTTAAAAAGGTTGGCACGTTGGACTTAAATTAAATTCTTCTCGAGATTATCAAGGAAACCAGTCAAAATAAGAAATACCTCATACTTTACTGTTTCATTTATTTAATTGTCAGTATATCCATGTCAATAAAGATTGTCTAACAGTTTTTCTGCATTTGCAGATAAATTGATATTTGAATTAATATTTGTCACACAAACTAACCAAAACTTTTTTTTACTGTAGTCTAAAAAATAAAAAGATAATTACTTAACACTTATTACGGATAAATAATTCAGAATAAAGGCAATTGCTTTTAATTCTGATTTGAAAAATTCTTATTTTCTCACTCTACAATATCTTGGAATTTAATTTCTTCGACTTCCAAATTAAAATAAAAGCAGATAGGCCACCCAGCAAAAGTTTATATCTAAATGATTAAATAATGTGTATTTTTATTAAAATTGTATAATATTTGTCAATCACCGTGTAATTTGTTGTATTGCTATTTTCCGTCGCGTGAAACAACCGTTGTTGGTGCCTTGAATCGGACTACTTAACCTCCATTTTTTGTCTGTTCCTTGTTTTTATTCCTTTACTGGTTTTGATGTTTTGTCGAAATTACATCAGGATGTTAGTGAGAGAAAGCACTTTGATATATCCATGGCATTAGTATACTCAATCCGATAATACAATTGATCAAAATCAGGGGGTCTGATTCATCTCGCCAAACCGGTAACCTACATTGTGGAGGCCGTATTTAGAAGCTTTGGGAATAGATACAGACTTTTAGACATTCTTTATCTTTATTTAGTATGAAGCAACTTAACTCCTTACGACACTCCAACAAACAATTATCGCTTAATCTTCCCTGAGGCGCCGCAGAAACATGACGTATGGTTTACGGCTTTAAATGTATAATACTCCCTATAGTTGATGGTGACTGTAATATCAACAAATTCGGTGGTCTTATTTTGGCAGATTGATTTCTTGTCGCAGGAACCAGCAAAATTGCACCTGTGCAGTACCGTTGCCCAAGGATAAACCTGAAAACCAAGAACTATAATAGCTTTTTTCACGCATTCTCATAAAAAATTGTCTCATTAAAAACCAGTTTGGCCGTGCATTTCAATTTTCATTTTGTATTATTATTGTATTGTTTGTACTGAATTCAAGAGGAGAATGAACTGAGTGCATTGTTTTCTCGTCAGCTGAAGTAAAGCAAACTTAACAGAAAAGGGATCGGCCATTATAGAACGATATTTTTGTATACTAACTTCAGTGGAATTTGAATATGTGACTTTCCAATTTTTTGTAAATACCTTTTTACAGAACAACAGTAGAAAACTGAACACTGAAGCCTGGTGTTTAATTCCCTATGTCCCCTGTGTCCCCAAAAAATTAAAAATGTCGTTTTACAAAACTTCTGGATTCCTCCTGCGCCTGTTTTTGCTGAAACAGTCTCTGACCGAGTTTCAGTCAAGCTCTGAAGAAGCAAACAGGATGACTGGCGAAACGTCAGCAAGTTCGACTCAGCAAAAACAGACGCAAATATGTTGTCATTCAGATTCTGAAAAATACTGTTTCCTTATGTATAAAGAAAATTCTAAAAATGATCAAGAGACAGGAAAACATAAAAAGTTTTTTTTAATAGATTTTCATCAGTTACACAAATAACTATTACTTTATACTGCAAAATTTGGTGCTCAGTAACCGAATCAATTCCAAGCTGAATAAAAAGAAGGTAAGAAGATGCTTCTTGTTTCACTGCTTTCGATGTCAGAATTGAAGCCGATTTATTGTATCCACCAATGTAGTTTAGTTGGTTTAAACTGTTGTATGAGAAAAAAAATTGCACTAACTTTAAGAATTACGAGAATACTTAACAATTTATCAAGTCAGTATTGGACACCACTACCTGAAAGTCAGCCTGAAAGAAACGTAAAACAAAATTTTAGGTATTAATGTGGGAATAGACGAAGCAAACATTATTACGCAATAGTTGAACAAAACTTAAGCAGCTGTTGACAAATTTGTAGCCGTGAGAAAAAAAGCATTGTCGACAAACTGTTCCTCAACAACAATCTACCAAGTTGCTTCGATGATTGTCCATTATAGGCTTCGTCTGTTAAAATAAAAATTATGGCGCATACGCGTCTACCTGCTTGACGTACGGCATCCGAAGCGCACACTGCGCAACAGGTCAGCAACAGCTGCGCAATTGTACACACTGTGTAAACTCCTGTGTTGTTTGACGGTTGGTTAACTGTTGAGCCCTAATGTTGCTTAATCTATTCCCACCTTTAGGTGAACTGGAATGGCAACGGCGTGATAGAAAAGTCAGACAAATTTCGCAATAGCAAAGACAGCAATGTTCATGTGTTTGCGGTATTTAAGTATGTGGTTTATTGATATATTCTTAGTGAAGCTATTTCCTAATTATTATTTGGCGATCAAAAAATATTTTTTTTAAATATATGTATAAATTAAAATATACAATAATTTATTTTCTTAAAAACTCTTCGAAAAAAGCTAATACAAATTGATCTACTTTAAAAATCAAATTATTTAGCTCTTTTAAAAAACTTTATTGGCGAAAATTGATGTACAATATTGAATACAAAATAATTAATTTTAGTAATGTATTCCATACGAGACAAATCTGTAGGTATATGATAAGATATTTTGTTAAGGTATAACTAGTAAAATTGGACATTCTAATGATCTCTTAAACGGATATAGCGTCAAACAAAATCCATGACCCCTTTTTTTATATTATGAGCGTTGGAACTCTGACCTGTTATTAATTCAATAGACTGGCCAGCTAAACATTTCGTGCCACAAACTACAAATTATAATAAAACCAACAGTTTATCCAGTATTGATTTAATTGTAATAAATAAATTTAATTGTAATAAGCAGTTTCAGCTTTCTGTACCTCTTTTTGGAGGTCATCTCACCCAACCCAAAATTCCGCTATAAATTTGCCATTTTCAATTGATGTAACATAATTAATTAGCATGCTCTGCGCATGGACACCCACCACCACCGCCGCCGCCGCCACCATATCTCGAACGGTGCGATAGAAAATGTCAAATGTCGGTTCTTATCACACGCAAACTAAGAATAGCAACATTAGCTTGCTGTCTTACTATCAATCCAGTGAGATTCCTTTCGGTCGCCAAGTCTTCATACGGTATCATTCTGGGCTGTGGCTTGGCGCACCTGAAACGCTCGATGCGGTCCAAATGTTCACTGAAACTCTTTAGATCGCCATAGCACAAGACCATCAAATTTATCGCTAGTAAAGTTGCCGATAAGATCGCGATCTGCGTCATTATTGCTTGATTACGAACTTAGAACGTGGAGATAAGGCGCGACGAACGCGGTTCATAGTGGTTGCGGTGCGGTGGCGCTTTTGATAAGATTAACTTCGGAAAGTCCGACTGCCGACTCAATCGAACGTTTTGCAGGATCTTTGAGTCGCGACGTCGTTTTCGCGATAAATTATAACCGGTAATTATTTTATTGACTGTTTATTGCGATTTGCTCGTAACGTGTTTCGAATTAAGTAAATACGTGCAGCTGTCTGCCGGAAAATTCGAAAATTAATCGTTGCCTACTTAGTTATAGATTCAGGACATGCGACCCAAAAATGAAGTGCACTTTGGGATATTCCGTACTAATGCATCATATTGCAATTAGGCTAAATGATTAAAGCAAATATTTACCTAAACATCTAAATTACGCATTTGTCCTTCATTTTATTTATCGATATTTAAACAACACAAAAGTTTAACTACTAAACTAATCAACGAAATATCGGAAAAATATTTTCATATTTCCAAAACCACTAAGGGTTGCAACTTCCATCTTAAAGTTTTAAAACTTTTTTCATTGAAATAGACCAAAACTAGCCCAAAATATATTTATATGTTTAGTTTTGAAAGCTAAGATTTATTCAAGTGAATTTTTCTACCCTGACATGTTCTTAATAAACTGATTATTATGCCCCTATAAGTTTTTTATATTATATATTTTTTTAATCAGGGTTGCTGACAATACAAAATGATGGAATTGTGAAATTTTATCATTGAATCTCGAAATTAGAAATAAAACTAAAATAACTTTTTTCGATATTTTAGACTAGGAAGAAGATATGGAGGCAGGATTTTTACTAAACTCTTTGGGTATTATTTCACAACTGTCTTTCTGTTATTGTTACAATATTAAATAGATTTTACAACGTGACCAAGTTAAAATCGATTCGGTCGTTTAATAATTACAGCTTTTTATTTAAAAAACAATTTTCTGGTATACGTGGAGTGTTCAAAATGTAAGGAGACTTTTGTAATTGCGCGGACTACGTACATTCAATCTTCGACATATTTTTTTGATGTTGGTAAACATGTCCATAACATATGTTTGCAGTTTCAGCCAGTTTGCATGTTTTTTTTTTCTTGAGAGACAGAAACTTTAGATGTGTTTTTTGTGCTCTGCAATTTTCTCGTGTCAAAAAAAAATGGAACATAAAATATTGTGTAAAAAAACGGAACACAGTGCTGCAAAACACTTGAAATGTTGACAGTGGTATATCGCTCTGGACGCAGCAGCACATCAATAAGTGATGAACGCGCTGAAGAAGTGAAACAAATGCTGTTGAAAAATGGTTAAATTATTATTAGAGAAGTGGCTAAAGACGTCGGCATCTCTATTGGCTCGTGCCATGCAATTTTTTTCGAAGTTTTGGGCATGAAACGTGTAGCAGCAAAATTTGTTACGAAACTGCTGCGCCGGGAGAGCATCCTTCAAGAGATATTAAACGACGTTAATGATGATCCTGATATGCTCAAAAAGATCATAACTGGTGACAAATCATGGGTATATAGTTATGACATCGAAACCAAAGTGCAGTCGTTCTAATGGAACAACCCAGAATCGCCAAGACCGAAAAGAGCACGTCAAGTTCGATCAAATGTCAAGGTTTTGCTTACTGTTTTCTTTGATTATCGTGGCGTAGTACATCAAGAGTTCTTACAACAAGGTCATTCCGTCAATAACCCTGAAGTTATGAGCCGTTTGCGAGAAGCAATACGAAGACAACGTCCGGAATTGCGGGAAAACAATTCATGTATTTTGCATCACGGTAATGCGCCTACTCACTCATCGTTGCTTGTGTAAGTTTTTGGCCCAAAATCATGTCTTAGCCTCCATATTCACCCGATATGGTTCCCTGCGATTTTTTCCTGTTCTCAAAACTCAAGAAACGCATGAAAGAAAGGAGGTTTGGAATGATTGAGGATATTAAGAAAAAATCGCTGGAAGAACTCGAGGCTACACAAGAAAGTACTTACCAGAAGTGCTTCGAGGGTTGGCACAAGTGTATTATATCTGGGGACTTTGAGGGGGACAACATTAATTTTGATAAATAAATAAATAATTTTTGATATAACCTAAAAGTCACCTAATTTTTGGATTTCAAAGATTGCACTTACGCCCCCTGGTGACTATCTTGGGCTTCTTTTGGTTACTTGTTTAATAACGTTTTTCACCGGAAGTTTTGATGACAAATAGAATACATACTTTACCTTTAAAAGAGCAATATTATTTACAAAATATCAAGATATATGATATTTTATTGATTTATTTTTTTTTTCTTGGACCATAACTATGTAACTACTAGCATCATCTCTCATTTGAACGAAATGGAGAAATGGAGATGACGCCAAAAATCACTCTAGAAAACTGAATATTAAAATTGCCTCGTGAAATTTTTGCCCAACATATTTTTCTTTAAAATTAACAATGTACGAAACAATGAACATAACCTAAGTACATCTAAGCGCCTTCCAACCCAGAGATATTCCAACCCACTTAGGCAACTACGGACTCCTCTTTCAATTTTTTCGGAATTTTGCACTGAATTTCAAGATTTCTCTCAGTAATCATAAAATAAGCCGATCAATCAATTTGGAACTTTCTGATTTAGAAAATATCTCACAATTACCTCCAAAATTAATATAGGTATTGTTGTTTACAACCAAAGGAAGCCTATCGGTGCATACCATAGATCAGGCGTAATCTGTTAAGATGCAGATGATAAATATAGAAAAGAATTATATAATAAACTTTCTACGATAGCCTCTCCTCACACAAGCAAACGCTCAGGAAACGGTTGGAATTTCAACAAAACATTTAGGAGTACATCATATTGGGCTACCAGGTCATTTTTATGAAGTAATATTCATTGCTTATCAGCTAAGAATTCGACTAGCTAGCTAATCCAAATTTTCCAAGAAAATGAACTTACACAGCGCAAAAATAATCGGATTCAACAAAGGATGAAGGCATACCAGAGTAAGTGGAAAGGAAACGCGTCCCGTATGAACGTATTTATTACTGGTTATCGGATTCTATTTTTACAACGCCTTAATTCGGCGCTCTATTTTGGATGTAGTTGTTGTCGATTTAAATGATCCATAATTTACTACCACCAAAATGGCAATTATTGAAAGAAAGCTTGGTGAATAAAATACTGTTTTTCTACCAGAATATGCTGTTACTGTGTTTAGAAATAAGTAGCTTAGAGCAATTGCCAACAAATATATTATGAAGTTCAAACCAGAAAACAAATAAAATCACTTGATGGTTTTTCAACTTTGTTCCTGCACCCACCAACGTTTGATTCTAGATTTTGCTATTAACTTAACAAGTGTAACAATTTAATTAAATGTTAAAAATTTAACTAACTCAATGACTTTATTTCAAAATACAAAATAAGCAATACATAACAGTAAATTGTCATTAATATAATTTTCATGTATATTTATTTATTTAAAGAATGTTTATTGTTTTGTCCAGTTGTCATAATTATGAAACAGATTTGATGTGTATATCATTGAATTTTTTGGTTTCAAAAATTATTATTGAGTATTAAAAAATGTTGATGTGGGTATTATTTCACGGCGCGTAATAAATTTCGAACCAATGCTACAAAAATTATAATTACTTATTATAAATCGTTTTAGACTTTGCCCAGTGGGTTAAATGTTCGATCAATCAAGCAGTATTAGATCCCGGCATTCAAGTACCTTTTTCATTGGTACAACATGCACATGTAAATGATAAAAATCACGTCTACCGTTGTCGAACAAATTAACTAAGTTTATTTATTTACGAGAAATATCGTAACTACATTTAAACGCAATCGCAACTAATCTCTGCCGACTGCTCGAACGATAAGAGAAAAATTTCGTCTCATCGCAGTGTGTTTATATTATTTCCAAAACGTGTATTCACATTCAAGCAGCACTGATATAGCGTAGAGCAAAAAATACATATAAAACCTACTGTAAATGGCCCCACTTGGTGACTGTAATTTCCACCAAATCGGAAGGGTAAGTCAGTATTTTTATACTATGGCGTATTACTAGGTTTTATACTCGATCGTTGATTTTCTTATGTACGTGTGAGTTAGCTAAATTGATTACTATTTAAATCTTGAATCTCGAATTACTTGAAGTCTTTTGAATCATAAATCTTATTAATTGTGTAAACGTAACAGGCTTCTCTGACCAGGGTACCATCTATGAACCTAAAACAGTTGAATAAGTTATCTGACTTAAAATGGGTATACATTTTTGTAAGGTTAAACAAATTCCAGAAAGTCGCACATCTCCGGTACTTTTCGGTAGATTGTAGTCACGGATGGTATTTTTAAAATATTTAAAAGATCTATTTGTATTACTTTATTTGAAATATGCGGGACTATTAGTTTTACAGCTGACTTATCCACTATCAGATATTTTGTTGTAATATTTAAATGAAAAAATAATTTGCATCCATAACTTGATGATGATCAATAAAATGAACTATGTTCTTTGAAGACAACAAAGAAAATCCGTAAATTCTAGTCCTTCATCTGAGAGTATATTGGTATGGGGCAGATAATAAAATGTTATTTCATAATTCACCTGCAATCATGTTGTGAATGGTTTTCTATAACGCTCTCGGATACGCTATAAATATTATTATTTGCTCTTGGTTGCCTTAATAGCTACGGAGTACTAAATTTATTTCCAATAATATAAAATAGTTTTGAAACACAGCGCATAAAATATCAGATTTCGGATCTAAAATTTTGATCAGTTGTTATATTTCACCTATGCCCATTAAAATAATTGAAATTTTGGTGTTTTCACATAAAATGCCAGAATATGTTTAGAGAAGATTCAATTCAAAAAATCCTTTATATAAATTTACTATATTTACCAAAATTAACTTTTATTATTATCTGATTCACTTGTGGTGGAAGAAAAAGGAAGAACAGATCTATTTTTTTTAAATAATGGAAATGCGAATATTTTGTCTATATCTGTATTGAAGTTTAAGGCTCGAGATAAACGTGGCAATACATTGATAGACTATAAATTTGCAGGTCATAATACTTTAACATAAAATCTACAGACTGGTTTCCAACTGCACTTATGTATTTTATTTAACAGCAAATGAAACAGTATGCCCAATCATACTAACAGTAGAATTTTGGAAAACCCTATTGTTAGGCACTATTTTTCTCAATCTGCTCGTTACTAAAAATAGTTCTTCTGTTTGGTCTTTGTTTTTGATCATTCCGCAATGGAAACCAGTAGTAGAAAACTATTCTATAAGTAATTATTTATTCTCAAAATAGTATATTATGCAACAAGTGTGGTAAACGGCATTAAGAGATTAATAAACGAGTGACTTAAAATGTTTACCAAACGTGTTGCATACTACCCTTTTTCTAAGATTTTTTTCAAAAACAACACGAATACATTTATTAACGTACCCGTCAGACTTGACAGACGTCAAAATTCAAGCCGTGCGCATTGCTCCCAAACCCATGCGGTAATATTTCGGCTCGGATCCGTAGGACAAGAAACTTTCGTGGTAAAGTGACACTTCCCGCACCCTAGATCGATGTATAATTAGGTATTTTGCAGAAGGGAGTACAAAAACTTCTTAAGAAACTCGCTTATGAAGCTGCTGCGCGCTCCGCTCATACTACGCTTATTGCATAATATATTACAATTGCAGAAGAAATTACCAAATTTGTTATAAAAATCTACGCAATATTCATTCAGTGGACATGCTTCCGTTAATTCCCCTGTTTTAATTTACCGTGTCAACGCTAAATTTTTGGAAATATTTTGGTTAGTTCTCTATTAGTTTAATATTTGAGGAATTTGACTAAAATTATATTATTTTATATATATTACAATATTGTGAAACGGAATTCTCAACAAGGACAAAAGTATGATCTGTTGTTTTTAAATTTTACCTTTCTCTTTTTATAAATTAAATTGTTTATGTTATTAACAATTTCAAAATACATATATATATATATATATATATATATATATATATATATATATATATATATATATATATATATATATATATATATATATATATATATATATATATATATATATATATATTATAAGCAATCAACGCATTAGTGTTATTATTTTCCGAAATTCGTTTTTTTATTAGTATTTTTTTTAATTTGGTATTTTTAAATCCTAATAGCAAAGCGTGGCGATATTATGAAAATACCAATTTTTTTAACTGAAAATTAAAATGAAATGTACTCTGTCATTAGGAACACCCGATACGTTTACACATTTTTCAAAATTAAGATACGTCAAATGGAACGCGGTCTGTTTAATCTTATCAAATTTTAGGGGTCATTTGTTGAAAGATTATCAGGCTGACCAGACGCGTTTATTGCCATTCTCTTAAATGTGCCTTCAGTGGTGGAGTGACTGTTTATTATTGCAAAACAACTTATCTTACTGGCTCAATCTCGATTCTTCTTGCCAGTGACAAATAAGCGTTCCGACCGTTAGGGAAATGTACAACAAAAGGATTTGATTTCACACAGGTAGGAAACGTTTCTATTCTATTGCCAGTGTTATTTGTTGAAATACAAAGAAAAAAATTGCAACATAATTTTCAAATTTTGAAATCGCACCATTTAGATTAGAAAATTATCCACTAAAGCACGTTTGGTCGCGCGTTTTGTTGGTATTCAGTTCGTATTATCAGCACATCATGTAAGCTACAAGCTACAACGTCGTTGACGCGAGTATCGCTAACCGATGAATCAGCAGATGATTTGATAATTTCATGGATCATGGATCGGGATTGCAAAGACAACATTCTTGCTCCATTCATAACCTAACCTGAGAAATGTCGCAAAGTAAACACATCTACAGTGTTTGTGTACAAATCCGTTAAATTTTACTTTTTAAAATAATCTATTAGTTCTTTTATAATTATAAAAGGAAAACTCCCTAATTTTTGAAATGTAGAATATTAGAGAACATTTAACAGATTTTTTATATATATAAAATCAAATATTTTGAAATCTATGAAAATAAAAATGTATGAATAATCTTTGAAAATAAAATAATATGTGTTTATATACAATTGAAAGTAGACGCCCTGTATATTTGGTACACAAATGAAAACACGCAGCCTGTATATTGATTTCTAGGTGCATAAAAACATTTGGCGTTTTACAGAGTGTTTTAAAATAAATGCTTAAAACTTTTCTTAAAATGAAGGGTAGTTTGTTACATTAACGGTGTTTCAAAAGCCAACCATCAGAGAGATATCGCGCTACAAATATGGCGGAATAATAATTATTTCATTTTTAATCATAAAATCGAAAATATATAGAGCAATGCAATATTACGGAAGTATATTAAAGTAGAAGTATAGAAGTATAATAAAAATGATTTTTGTGAATATTCTTTTATTTTCTTAAAATGAGTGGGGGTATAGAATTAGCTATCCCTACTCCTTAACTAAATTTAAAGCCAAATTTACGTAATGGTAGGGAAAAAAAATCTATAGAGGGGTATTCTCTTGGTAAAATAGCTTAAGCCTTTAGTACGCGGTATGGATATAACTATTATTCTTTTAATATTCTCCATACAGTTGATGCGTCAGTATTTCATTCTGCTGCAATTTTCCTGGTATTTGTTTCCAACAATATTTAGCAGTGCAACTTCTAGTCCGGAAGTTCGAACGTCGCTTTGGCTACCGGTATCAAATCTCTTTTTTTGAAACTTCCAGATTCATGTAGCCTTTGATGAAACCTGATAATCAAGCTGTGATGAGGAGATCTACGATTAGGATACGCTTGTGTATAAAAACGACAAGTTTCCAAACATACATAAAATTCATATCTGAATTTCCGCATTAGTGCAATTCACCATTATTCAATTAAAACTCTTACTGTTGAACAATTAATTGATTAGTTAATACATCTTGAATTAAATGAAACGTACTTGGTTTCAATGTCACCGAGCAATTTCAAATCATGCAATTATAAGAAACGCCTCCAGAAGTGACAGCAACCCATTAGACTTTATTTAATAAATTTTTTATCTCTCATGCTATTTTTTTATTCGGAAAGTGTTATTATTAAGAAAAACTTGCAAGAGACAAAAGTTTCTAAATAAAACATTGAATAAAAAAAAATGTGTCATTGCATAAGTTTTTTAATAAAAATGATAGGGGAAGTGTAATTCGATCCCTCCACTCATTTAAAAAAAAAATAAAAAAAATCAAAAAGTTCGTTTTTATAATAGTAATACTTCCGCAATATTTTATTATTCTATCTGTTTTCATTTTTAAAATAAAAAATATAAACATGATTTTTCCGACATTATTTTGGCGAGATATATGCTTTTTGACCAAACGTTTATATAACAAACTACCCTTTATTTTAAACAAGGAACGAGGAAGTTTTTCTCATTTGTTTTGAAACGCGCTGCATACAAAGAATTTCAAATAACCCGCGACATTGATTAGGACTTAACAAAACCGCCAATCTTTACTACAGATTGGACTTATTAATTAGTAAAATAGTGTCTCATATATCGACAACATCGACTGACAAATTGTTTGTTTCAGATTTCTAAAGATGAAACGAAGACGGCAGCAGTGTGGCCAACTATGCCTCCTATTGGCCGGAATCCTTCTAATCACATTAGGCCTATTGATATTTATTTATTTAGAATCGATATACGAATTCATATTAAACGATGCTCTCAAATTTACACCGACGTCGGAACCATTTAGACAATGGCGAATAAACGACCCTCCCTTGGATATGGACGTGTACCTCTTCAATTGGACAAACGCCAAAGACGTGAAAAAATCCGATGTGAAACCTCGATTCGAAGAGGTAGGACCGTACAGATTCAAGGAGGTCAAAGAAAAAGTAAACATCAGCTGGCATGACAATAATACAGTTAGTTATAAAGTAAGAAAATTTTATTACTTCGATCAAGCGAATAGCCCAAGGAACCTTAGTGACATGATTACGATAATCAACCCCGTTCCGTTGGTGAGTTTTTTTATATTAAGAAAATGTTTAACTAATGACAAGGAAATAAGAGCATTTTTCTATCAAGTATTTGTTTTTAATGGGTGTACAGAGTGATTGATTTGGATAAGTAAGCCGTTTTAAAATGGTTGGATTGAGATTAATAGGGTAGAAGCAAAATTTATTAGGTAGTTATAGAACCGATTTTAAGGGAGTTTTAATATAGTTTCGAAAGTTTTCCAAGACATTTCAGGTAGTTGGCAAAACTATCCCCGTTCATTAGCAAGATACAGGATGTTTTACTGACTCGACCATTATTATTTTCATGTCTGTGAGTCCACGTCCAAATATTATTTTTTTTTTTTTAGTTTCAAAATTCATAGCGCACCTATCAAGCGGATGAAATACAATTTGTCTTGAGAGACCATTCGAATGTGTCAATAAATATACCCAAACTCGTATTTTGTATAATAAGCAAAAATGATAATCCTGATCGAGAATGTGCCCATTTTCATAAGCTTTCTCAAATAGATCTTACTGGCAGGTAATATGAAAATAAAACGAGATAGATATACCAAACATATCATACTTTTTTAACATTTGCTTGTTTTTTATAACGACGGATGCAGAGAATGTTTTAGAGAGGATTAATTAAATGAAATGAAAATAAATTTGGTAGAATGTTTTTGATTTGAATATCCAATGCAATGTTTCCAGTCCTATGGCGGATTTCGATTTTTTTATACTGCCGAATTGTTATGGTTTTTGAGCTAAATGGGATTAAGAATATATAAATATTCAAAAGAGGTATGAATCCTACTTACTATCTACTTCCAGAGTTATTTTGTTTAAAATTAAGTTTTAAAATAAGTATTTCAATCATGTAGTTTTTGCATACTCATTTATTGCGTTACCTTAAATGCAATTTAACTCTTTAATGATAACAATAATAAAAAAATCTTTTATAACCAAATACTGATGCCGTTTTGATCCGTTTAGAGAGCCCAAAAATCTACCAATGACTATCATTTTTAATACAATGGAATAACAATGTGTGCATTGAAAAAAATGCAGTAGAATAATATTTGTCGAAACGGCCACCCCAATATTAAATATTTCAATTAAAACGAGCATCGAACCTTTATTCAAAGTTTTCGATTTTATAAATTAAAAGACATCGATTTTTCATTTAATATTGGTTTAAATATGCCCACCGTATATCCTTGCCAATGAAACACTTCGTATGTAGAAGCAAGTCTCTGTTATGGTGATTTCGTTAATAATCATCCGTTTTGTCAACTCTGTTTTCTAATATGTTATAGACCGTAGCATATCAAGCAAGAAAGTACAACTTTTTCACGAAGAAGCTATTGTCCCTTTCACTGTCAAGTATGTCGACACTTTCAGTGACTAAAACTGCCAATGAAATTCTTTTCGAGGGTTTCGAAGATCCTATCTTAAACGTACTCAGTCGATTCCCTCTACTCAATGTACAGGATCGTTTTGGGATATTTTACGGGGTAAGTCTCATTCTCAACCAAGATTAGCTTGGACTTTTTGAATACAATCGATTTCCATTTTGGTAGCAAAACGGGACCACCGGTAGGGAAGGAGTCTTCAGTATGTACACAGCAAACGACGAGAACTTTGGAAAATTGCTGACGTGGAATTACCGCAACACAACAAACTTCTATGAGGGTCACTGTAACGAAATAAAAGGATCCGCCATGGAATTTTACCCTTTGAATCGTAAAAGAGACCGGTTGGTGTTGTTCTCGTCGGAACTTTGCAAATATGCTGAACTAGATTACGCCGGTGACGTGATCATTAAGGGGGTCCGCGGGTACAAATTCACAGGCGACAATATTTTTGACAACGGTAGGTATTTTTTTTTTGTTTTGTTTATTTTGCTACACCAAATAAGGAAGCGACATTACGTTCCATAATTCCAAAAGGAGTTCAGTATACTCAAAGTATGCAAATTTTCGTACAGCGATTGCCCCTATACCTCACATATTCTCCTGCACTTTATTCCATTTTCTTACTACAGATCAACCTCAAAACTCATTACTCGCTTTTCTCCTCAAAATTTAAAGCAACTATTGCAAAAAAATGATACTTCCAAATTGAAAACTGTCAGAACTGTCAGTGGCCATATTGATTGTTGAACATCGCAAGTGTTGAAATGACTGATCTTATTGGTTAAAAGGAAGTTTAAAAGTTATTCCCGAATGCGCCTATCGAATTAACAAGTTTTGATGTTGGCCTCAAAAGTGCCTGTATTAACAAAAGCAAAATCCCTGTTGATCTAGTAGCTATACAGATTTTCCCAATTGAACAGTTCCATGCTGCAAGAATGAAGCAGCTTCGTTAGAGCTACGGAGCTGCGTGACGGTGCGATCTCTAGCTGGTAGCTACTTCTCTTTTGTTTAGTTGTTATTAATTATCTCAATGCGTTCTAAAATCAAGCGCCTTAGATTCCAAGAAAGGAACAATTAACTATTTTTTTGTTATAGTACTTTATCGAAATGATTTGGCATTGTGATATTCAAATAAACTATGTATTTTCAACTAAAGAATAAGTTATGGTATTCTTCAAGTTAAATAGAACAAAAAAAGAACTATTACTTTATTTGTACGGAACCATTCAATATTTTCTGCTTAAATGAAGTTGAGAGCGGGAAGGATTGAGTTGTATTGACAAGTTTTGGGGTAGTGCTGTGCAGGAATTCGATAGCGTTTTCGACCTAAAGAAGATTTCTAAATTTCTCTCAAATTCATTCGCATCTTTCTATTTCAAAGACACTTTCGCAGGCTATAGAACTTGCAGATGTACATTTCCAGGTTTTCTCCTCGGATTTCGCTGGTGTCTCGCAAGCACAAAGTGCTGTCCCCGAAGTATTCTTTTAGTTTGGTAAATATTCATCGACCTGTTTCTTGTTCATCAAGGTACTATCGAAAGCGTCATGATTCTAAGTATTCTTTACATTTTATTTCTGGATTATGCCCTAAAATTTAAATTAAATTAAATTAAAATTTTGGAGATAAAAATAATATTTAGGTAATAAAAAACTTGGTTTTAAAAAATTAACACCGGATGTAGTAGTTTTTGTATTGTACATTCTACAGGCAAGCAACATTTCTACAAAAAAAAACTTGTAATGACATAACCTTTAAAAACCGAACATTCTGTACTTTCCTTAAAAATTAAAACGCTTTACAAAATTTATTTGTAAAAATATATTAGTAAATGCGTGTTTCAAGGTTGTAGGCACCGAGTTGTTAAACAACTTTATTTCGACTTCCGTTGTCTTTATTTCAATTATACTTCGACGTGGAGGTACACAACCGAAACGTTTGAAAATAATTCAAACAAAGACAATAGAAGTATATCAATTTAATTAATTAACCCCATTGCATTGTTGTAATATTTTTTCTGAAGCATACATTGTTTTATTTCTTAATGGTTCCTAAAAATAGGGATAGCTTAGAAGAGATTAGAATTCATTTTAAGTCAATTAGAGAGAGGTTTGGCTCTATGGGCCAGTAGCCGGACTTATTCGCAACTAATAAAACGAAAAAGTTAAGCATGTTGACAGTCATTTCTAGTATCTTTGACTAAAATTAAAATATTATGTATCAAAGTCTATCTTGTCATAGACAGATATTAAAGACCTGAACATTAAGAATACTTGCTATGGTACAACTGAATTAGTTTGAGTTTTTCACAAAACAATTTAACACAATGATACAAGTGAATTCTCTCCTTCTGTCCACATCTCTCGCGCCTCCGGTCACAGCAAAGATTTAATTTATAGAACTTTAATATAGTGCTTAAGTATACGGTCATGGAGTAAATACAATTTTTGGACATCTTTGGTTACTACGTTCGACTTTGCATAACCTGCAGTGCAAAACGCACGCTTGCAAGGGTACTTCGAGTCTTGTACACCACAAAGCTGTACAGAGTACTTCTAAAGGATGTATCGCCGCTCGAAAATGCATGGAATCTAGGCAGCGTAACTGATATTTCGTCATTAACTGCACAAACTATGCAGGGAATACCTGCCTGTGTCTATCTCCGAAGCTCTGCAAGCCCAAGGTTTTCTAGTTTGTAAAAGAACAATCACTGCTGCGTATGATAACCAAACCTTTCGAGCATATTTGTAGTCAGAAAAAGTAACAACACATTTTCAGGGGAAAAATTCAAGTCTTTCTTTCCGCACAGCTTTGAAAATAAATGTTAAAATGAGTTACTCGTCAAGGCAATCGGAGATGCGCTCATTGACGTATTTGTGTGACATACAGAATGCTTTCTGGGGAAGCTATATTGTGAGTCTCCCATCTCTCATAGATTTAGATCTATTATGTGATAATTTAGGCAAGATATCCACTAGAAAGCAAGTATCAAACTCTGTTTAGCTACACAGAAAGTTTACCTTGAATTATTGCTAAAGACAAATAACGCCAATCCAAAATCACGGCCTTTGTTTTTCCGTAACATGCTGCTCCAACGTACTTTTATAGAAACTACCGCGGAATGTTTATTTACCGGAGAAGAGATCGTATATCCCCAATTTTAACCTGTTTTTTGCAAACTACAAAGTTGTTCAATTTTTTTTCTACTCAAACACCTATAAATTAACACTAAAATACGTCACAACTTAAATCAGTTTCTTTGGTATTTGGTATTGCGATCCACGTCACATGATTGGCATTCCTAATGGGACACCGCAGTTATCAAAACATATGAGTTTTGCGGCTCTATATGCTCTAAGTTGTTAATCCTTTGTCTATATCTCCTCTGATTTTAGCTGGATGTCGCAGACGTTTCGCAAATACAAGGCTCTGTTCCTGAAGTATTATTTTAGTTTGGTAAATATTCTTCGACCTGTTTCTTGTGCATCAAGGTACTGTCGAAACCGTCAAGATTTTAAGTATTCTTTTCATTTTGTTTTTGGATTATACCCTAAATTTTAACTTTCGGAGATAAAAGTAATTTTTAAGTAATTTTTAATTTATTTAACACCGTATGTAGTAGTTTTTGTATTGTACATCCTACTGGCAAGCAACATTTTTACAAAAAAAACTTGTATTGACGTAACCTTTAAAAACCGAACATCCTGTTCTTTACAATATGTGTTCCTTAGAAATTAAAACGCTAAATATCAAATAATATAAACTATATTCGAAAATGTGTGTTTGAAGGTTGTAGGCAATGATTTGTTAGAACTACTTTATTTGAACTTCCATTGTCTTTATTTCAATTTTATTTAACGGTATCAGTGGAGATACGGAACCGAAACGTTGGCAAATAATTTAAACAAAGACAATAGAAGTAACAATTAAATTAATTAACCCCGTTGATATGCTGTAATATTTTTTCTAAAGCACACTTCCACGGTTCCACGTGCTCAATGGCTACGCATTTTTTCCACCTTCTTTTATAGCTGCCATACAATTTATAAACCCCAAGAACGAACAAAACGTCGAAATAAATAACTAGTGTTTTTGCTTTTAGGTACATTAAGACAAGAAAACTCTTGTTTCTGTATAGATGAATGTATCCCATCTGGTGTGCTGGACGTTTCCAGATGCCGTCAGGACTCACCCTCGTTCTTATCATTTCCACACTTTTACGCCGCCGATCCTTATTACAGGGATCAAATTCAGGGAATGAAACCCGATGGTAGTAAACATGAATTTTTCATTATAATAGAGCCGGTGAGTTGCAAAAACTACATTGACTTTTTTATAGGATCTTAAAAAAAATAGTCAAGCCGATGTGACCAAAGCACATGGTTCTCTTGTTTTCTTGTTCTCTGATTTTCAAACTATGCTTTTGCTTTTCTTTGCTTTGGAATATGCAAACAATGTTTTTTTTTTGGAAAGGACATTAAACAAACCTTAAAAATTAAGCGATATCGTTTTTATGTTTAGATAAAAGGGGTCCGATACCATCATTCTCAGGATGATAAATTGTACTTTAACGAGTCCATTTTAAGTAAAATATTTTTATCGCTCTGTTTAGAGGGGAACCTGGACGAGCCTGCCTGAAACATAAATCTTCTGAAACTGCGTTAAAATCCGATAAATTTCTGCCCGTTTTTTCTACATATATCACCTTTTTACATGTATAAAAGACCACGGATCCGAAAGCGTGTAAACATATTCCGGTATGAAATGCTCTGTCAGGTTGCAAGTGGGAAGTGATAAATATCGCTACGGCTTCATTGAAAATACCGAACGCCGGAGTGCAGCCCTTAGTTATTTCGGTCATTACTGCTATATAGTTCACGTGTATTTTGGCCGAGGGAAACCTATATTTTACTTTCCTTTGTTTTGTTTCACGTAAAATCGCATCATTAAATTGACAAATTTTTCGATAGACATAATTATAGCCATAATTCCTTCATTTAAAAAAACAACAACAAATGTTTAATGATTTGCAAATACCGGTTAGAAACCACTTATATTTATACAGTGATTCGCATTACTTTTTTCGAAAAGAAAATGTCTCAAAAATGTCCCTGCCTCATTTTGCCTAAATTGTAATATATCTCAGTAATGTTATTTTTATTGTTTAAAATATCAAACGCTACTTTTTACAAGGGACAAGAAATGGATACAAACTTTCAGGAAATGTGCCTCATTTTCTATATAATTCAGATTAACAAATTATATCTCAAGCAATTATTCATTTTATTTTAATATATCATTATTTAAGTCTTAAATAATAATGTTAAATCGAACTTGTTAAGCTAAAGTAAACTATAATAGTGGAGTTCAAAGTAAAACTTATTTCAAATTTACCTAAAATAAAAGAAAACATCGACAGACAAATTTTAGTCTGGTTATTTAATGCTTTTTTGTTAAAGAATTTGTTTTCAAGAAACACAACAGATCGTATTTTACTGAGTTACCTGGAAACATTTACCAGATCAATCCTAGATCTGACATAGGAATGAATAATAAAATTGCAAAGCATAAAAATGTACATATTTTAATATTTGTTGTTAACTTTGAAGTTACTTTGCCCAGTTTTCTATAACGTGTAAATTACAACAAATAAATAAATAATCAATTTCACAAAAATTTGCATTTTCCATACCTAGTTATTCTCTAATCTCATAAATTGAGTTTTGTTTTTAGAAATCTGGCATAATAATGGATATAGGAGCCCAAATGCAGCTCAATATGTTGCTTCAACCTATATTCGGGATAACGTAAGTTTGCGATTTTTATACCTATAGTCCTAGTTGTCACATAAACCATGGATAGTAGAATAATATGCCAAAGGAGTGATTTTCTGTGGATTTGTAACTGTAAAATTTAAAAATCTAATTATGTATGTATTTATTTTGTAGCATACTCGAATAACTTAGCGTAAACTTATTTTCAGGTTGTATTCAAACGTCCAGAAGACGTTTGTGCCCATATTCTACTTTTCACAACATATCGAGCTGAAGGATGAATTGGCAGCGAATCTGAGACTGATTCAAAATCTTCCCGAATACGAAAATTATACCTCCCTAGTATTTCTAAGTCTAGGAACTATCTTAATATTATGGGGTATTTGCTCAATATGCTGTTGCTCAATCGCCAAAGACAAAACAAACCGACGGTGTGAACCAAAAGTCATATTAGCCGAGGAAGTACCATTAAGCGAGAAAAAATGACAAACAATAGTGATCTTTGTGTTTTTTTTTATTAAAGCCAATTTTTCTAAATATTTTGATTTTCTTCTTACAAATTCCTAACCCCTATGTCTATTTTTGCCAAGGAACTCTACGTTTTGTTATGTAGATATTAATTGCCAGATGAACGATTTTACTCATTCCCTTTGGTATTTTGTTATAAATTACCGATGGTCCTAGCTAAAAGCGAATAGAATGTTAAACATATATCCTCAAAGTTTTTAAAAAATGTCACAAATATTTTTAAATTAAAAATTTTTAAAAATTTTATATATTTTTTAATGTATCGTATGCTCAAATTTATACCTTATATCGGAAAGAATCGCACCACCCCCGCAAACATTTTCCCAAATTCCCAGAAGTAAAATTAAATAATTTGCTGTATTCACACACCTTTTCTAACGAAGAAACTCAGAACAACTAAAATTAATTTGTCAAAAAATATATTATCGACTCTTAGATTTGCCGTTCTTAATGACGCTTATTCCCAGAATTACTTAATATTCTATATGATAAATCGGCTCGCTTTTTTTAAGCAGAATGAAGGGCATACCAAAAGTGCAAGAATTTATGTTTCCAGCCATATATGTGGGGGCATTTTCGAATCAATTCGAGATTAAAAATTTAATCTCCTTTACGAAAGCAGATGCATACCGACTTCAATTAGACACATGTTGGCATTCTGTGTATAGTTACTTTGTACCTCTAAAAGTTTAAAACTTAAAATGAAGCTCGTTAGGTTTGTATATGATTTGCCAAACTTGAGGCAACGAAAACCCGGTAGTCATGGCTCCTTAATTGTTTGATTTTTTCAAAGAACGTTTAAGATCGAAAATGAAGATGTGGTCAACCTCGTTAACATTGTTCAACAAAAAAATTAGTTATAAAAGAAAAACAAATGATTTCAGTTTTTTGCGTCAAACTTTAAAACTGATTATCAACTATCTGCGTTTTTTGTTAACTGTTCCCGTTAGAAAGAACCAAAGAAATAGTTAATATGTTTTATTCTCTGATAGAAAACGCAACTGTTTTTGTCTTTCTGATTACGTGTAAATAATACCTGGTTGAAATTGAAATTGTCACCATATTATCAATCTTGTACTAACTTTTCCGATATTGGTCATTTAGGCACCTTCTTGAGTACTAATTAAATCATCAATTTACTGCGTAGGTTGCATAAATGGAGATGATGAAATACAGGAGAAATTGTCGTCATTGTTTTCAAAAGATATATTAATGCCATAAATCATAAAATTGTTTTCGTCTTTATCAAATTTTTTTACCAAAGCAAATGGATAAATCATAACTTTCGAAAAAGTAAAAATAAAAAGGTCACCCTTATATGATATATTCAAAATCATAAAAAAAAACAAGAAACATATTTTCATGCACAACTGAATTAAATATATATTTAGGACATTGTAAGTTGATTTGTCTGACTTAAACACTATGCAGTCTTGTGGCTAACCAATGTAAGACCCACAATAGTATATCATGCAACAAGGCTATTAAACGGAATTCGAGACATGAGTTTATTTGGCTCGAGCAGAGTGCAGCGGAGCGAGTGCTTAATAAACGAGTGACTTAAAAAGTTTGCTATATCATACCATACTTGTTGCATACCATACCTTTTCCCTTACCGTCAGTTGTTGGGAACATTATTGCAAAACAACGAACTGACTGACGTCTGACATAACCGTCAGAATTGACAAACGTCAAAATGCAAGCCGTGAGAAATATCTCCGAAAACATCCGATTGCTCCAAAACCCGTGCGGTAAAATCTCGCAAATGTCCGAAGTGGTTCGGATCGGTGGGAAACGAAATTGACGTTGTAAAAAGACACTGTCCGCACTCTAGATCAGTGTATAATCGGATATTTGAGAGAAGGGAGTAGAAAAAAGAATTTCAGAACGCTTTCAAAATACCAAAGTGTGATTAGAAAAAAACCTAAAATTTACAAAGTCAATTTGACCAAAAGTGGCTAATTTTCGTATGTGCATGACCGTTAAGTCGTAACCTTCAGCATTATCGGATTAGTAATAAAATGGCGAGATTCACATCAACGAAAATCCAATAATTCTCGACTATCAATGAATGAATACGTGAATACAAGAAACTGTCGACTGATATTCCCGAATGATTGAAATCGGAAAGTCCACCGCCTTTGAATTATTGCGAGAGAGAAAGACAACAGGTCAAGCGATTTACCACCAAAAATATTGACTTTGAAGATAACTTGACAATATAGCAAATTTACCCAAACAGCGTTTTATATACGGTAAATGATATGGCATTACAAGTGAAAGAAAGCAAGTAGCAAGACGAAACACAACATTCAAAATGAAGGACCTTAAGCTACTGTTTGACCAAACCATTGAGGATGTGACGCCAGAGGACTGGCGAGAAGTCCAGCATGTCATTAAAAGGATCTTGACTACATGATCGATCAAACTGTCGGCCTTTAATTAGAACATCTAAAAATGATAGTTCCTCACGTGATGAAGAATATGGTGTTTTTTTTTAATAATTTCATTTATGTATAATGTTTAATAAAAAAGGGCACATGGTGTCCCACATATTATATTATAATTTTTTTTCTCAGAAATTGCTTTCATTTAAACTTTTCAACTATTACTGTTATGTATAAAAGGTGTGTGTTTTTTTTGTAGACAAATTTCTTATTTTAAATTAATCAAGATGTATATTAGTGCAGTTTTGAGTTCCTGTGAACTTTCTAGAAATATTTGATTTATAATAACCTATTCATAAGCCTTACCGTTTCTGACATATTTTGAATATTATATTAAAATTCACGTTTGCAGGTCTAAATATATCTGTCGATTTCTGCGACTGAAAGACTTTGTTATATATTTTGAGTTGATTTCTTTGTAGAAAGAGGATCTACTTTAGTGGCATGTGTTGATATAAATAAATACAGGGTGATAAAAACGATACATTGAAAATTTAAATTAAAAAATGAAAATGTCATCTTATCAAATAGAAAACCCTCATTTTTAAAATTTTGTTGCATTTTGCATTAACAAACTTAATTTTAATTAACGCCTTTCCATTCTTGATATACTTTGACGACGAAACAGCGCGAAAAACAATCGAGCACTACACAAACGTCACTTTTTCGCTTGTTGAGGGTTTGGAAATCGATGATTGATAGTTTTATGCCATTGTTATGGTCATTTTTATATAAACAAAAAACAAAATAATGGATAAAATAAATAAAACTAAAAAAAAATTAAATTAGGTATTGCTCCGTCTGGATATTTTTCACCAAATGTTTAACTGTATTTTAATTATATGTTTTCAGTTAAATAATTTCTGTAAAATAAAAATTAATATCCTTTTTGCATACATTTAAAATACTTATTTAATTGCGGCTTGGTTGACCATCAAGGAGATTGGCTATCAATGATATACAAGATTTATAAAAAATTGTCAAACGCCAATAGTGGTTACCATTTATCGCATGCTCGATTTTTTTTTTCGCGTTTCGCGATTAAATCAACACCAACCGACGAAAGTGACTTAACTATTGGTCAGGTCACTCTGTAGAGCCCTTACATACTTAATCAAGTTTTATTACTTTTCGCATTTCTGAAACAGACTTAAGTTGAACATAAACTTGATGTATTTTTAAAGAGTTAATAGGAATACCTAATTAAATTTGTTACTGTTGAACTTTCATTTTTCTGTAAATATTTTCTAATGTTGTTTCAATACCAACAAAAACAGCTTAATAAATTATATTAACATTTATAATAAAAATATTTTTTAGATTTCTTACTTTTATGTCACATAATGTGTTAACTGCCAATTTCAGTTTATAGTATAATTATATTATATTATATTATATAAGTTTTCTTTAACAATAAATAAGCTAATGAATGAAGAAGGCACTTAGACCATTTTTATAAACATCCTCCCTATAGTCGAGGTCTATAATGAAAGCTCTCCTCTGGGCAACATTCAAAATCGCGTTGATGCTACTCCACAGTTTCAATACCCTACACAAAAAACAAAAATTTTGAGCTATGGATATTTATTGTAAAAAAAAACCATCGCTACTATTACTGATCACGTAGTAATTTATTAAACATACACTTTCCAGTTGAGGACTTTGGACTCTACGTATCAATTAATTATAAAACCATACAAAAAGTTCAACAGAAGCTCAACAGCGATCTTAATACTCAGAAACACAAATTTAATCGTCAGAAGACGTAAATTTTCAAGAACGAAATCTACGAATACGTACGTAGTGACTAAAACAAATAAAAATAAAGAACCATAAATAATTTGACTTACAAATAAAATTACTGATCAAACATTGAAGCCGTCAAGAACATTGCGTCTGTAAATCAGAGACTTTTACGGTTTCTACCGATTCTAAATAAAAGTTTTCCTTGAAGCTGATCCTCGGCTGATGCAGGACGTAGATAATATTTCCCAAGGGGTGGCAAACGATGGGGGCGCGTCGGACGAAGATTTATAAAATGTAGAGAGAGAACCAGATAATGTATAAAAGGAAATGACGATCCGTTTCCAGCAGAGTTACTTTTATTGCTTCGTGCAATATGCGGTTTATGTGTAGTAAGCGGTTTAAATTTAATTCATCTCAACGTGGCTTTGCAAACCGAGTAAGGAAAGTTTGGCTATGATTTTCTAACCAATTACAAAAAAAAGAATACACGAATGAAACTTTTTGTGTCCAAATTCAGTTAATCAATTAGCCTTTTCAGTGGAGCAAATTAGATCAAGTAAGATTTAATCAAATTTCCAAACAGTTGTAGTATGTATTATAATGTACGAAGAAAGGTGTTTAACTTCATGATGCTAACACGCCCAAATAGAAACAGGTAGCGAACACTGTTGACTGTATAACCATTAGTGGTGAAAGTCTGGTGATCATCAGGAATGTGAAGGATAAGTCACGTTGCGTAAATTATAGACCTGTCTAGTATACTCCTCTAGTATACTTAATTTTGACTTTTACGCGTTAGAAATTATTTTTTCATGAAGCCGACTGATTCAATAGTGGGAATGAGGTTCATATCTGGTATAAATTTGCCAAAAAACTTCTAGGGCCATTATTCGGTAATATTAGCCGATATATGCAGTGTCATCACCAGTTCCGCATCAT